AGTGCATTTGAAACATAAATGAATTTTGTGTTTAGACTTGAGTTCCACGTCTCCACAAATCTTGTTATGTACATATAAATATTCTAAAATTCAGAAATGGAGTCAAAACACTTCTTGTTCCAAGCATTCTGGGCAAGGGATCCTCAGCCTGTATTAGGCATAGAGATAATAGGTCAACAGAAGTCACTACAAAAGGGCAGAATAAATAAAACATCAATATGGGAGCCACGTGGGAATCGTTTATATTTGACTAAGAATAATGAAGTATGTAGAATAACAAAGTCTCCCTTGGGACCCTGAATTAATATGAAATGCCCATTATCTAAACGGATGTTCTTTTGTGGGCAGGCTATGTTTCTTTGAAACGAATTAGCAGAAAGCAAATTCCCTCCTCTGGAGTCTAAGGTTCAAGAGCAAATGTGTTATTGCAAATATAATATTGTAACATCATCTCTGCTTACAGTAAACACAGTCAATAAAACTACCCTATCAAAAGAAATAAACCTGTCCATGTGAACTTGAGACTTCTCTTTCAGGAAGTGATTTATGATGCCACACTGTATTTCAGAAGCCAGAACTTGTTCCACACATCTCTTTTCAATATCCTCAAGTTGCTAGGCAGTTTAAGAACCCAGAAAGCCATACAATGGCTTTGAATTTTGAAAGGTGACTGATGTGTAGTAAAATAATAGGAGTATGGTGGAGGTTAGGCATGACCTTAAGGACTCTGTCCCAGCTCACTGATCCTTTAACAATCCAGGGAAGAGAGAAAGCCACAAAAATGCTCTCAGAGTCATGAAAGGGAGCCAGCACCTCTCCCTGTATACTTCATTAGAGCAATCTGTTCCTTTTCAGGTCATGAGGGTCTTCAATCAGCCCTGAAGAATTGATTGTTTTCTTTCCTGGGTCCTAAGTTAGCAAAAGAAGATCCAAAAGTGTGCTTTTGAGGCATGTTAGTCAGCTTTCAGCACTGAGAAAAACAACTTAAAGAAGGAAAGGTTTATTTTGGCTCATGGTTTCAGTCCACAGTTAATGGCGCCAAGGCATCTTGGAAGAAAGGCATGGTGGAGAAAAGTTGCTCAGTTTATGGCAGTCAGGGAGCAGAGATACATCAAGGAAGGGTTAGGAAGTATATATAGAGAGGAAGAGTCAGAGAGAAAGGGGCCGGTGACAAGATACGTCCTCAAGGTCACATCCCCCATGAAACATCCCCTTTAACTAGATCCCACCTCTTAAGTTTCCATGACCTTCCAATAATGCCATAACATTACAGTATCATCAAAGGATTAATCCATTAACGAAATCAGAGTCCTCATGACTTAATCACCTTCTGAAAGCCCTGCTTTTAAATGGGGGGATATTTAGATCTAAACCATAGCAGAAAATAAGGAGATATCACTTTAGAGAAAAGAATTTCAAACATGCTAGAGTTCATTGTATTTCTATTTAACCAATCTTCCTCAAGACAAAAAGCAAAATATAATCACATTGGATAGGCACAATAATAAAACACAACAGTGGAACTACACGGGATATAAGCTGTTTCAATTATAATCTTATGTTGAACTGGTATTAGAGAAAGTATTGTTTGGTGGGAGTAAGACAGACTTGCTTCTAGTCATTTGACCTTCACAAAGTCATTCAAAATTGCTGGGCCTGTTTTGCCAATGATGGAGCTAGACCAGATACAAAGCACCTGAGAGGCTCTGGCAGTGGCCAGGACCACATAATCTTCTCCATGTCATTTATATAATATAGTAAAGGGATGGTGAGTAAAAACAAAAGTGAGACGATTTTAATGGTCCTTGATGACTTTGTGGTCCTTAGAACAAAGAAAAATAAAGGTTATTATTTTAATTACACACCTGTGATATAACAAGGAAAAAATTTTAAATTATCCATTATCTCTAGGCCTCTCCTCCTACCTCCTCATTTGAAACCTAGGAATGTGCTAGCTAAAATATTTCCAACCATTCCCACACAGCTACAGGGGGCACTATTTACCCAAAGACACTGCAATGGTGTTTCCTGGAGTGTGCTACTGTCTCTAAGACAGATGCTTTTATAGCTGACTGAGCCTGTTGTTGGGATCTTAGCTCCAGTAACTAGCAATACACTTATAACCCTCGGCAAGCTATTTAATAATCTCTCTGATCCGGCTTCTTCCTTCTCTGTAAAATGGAGATAGTAAATTGTATTTCCAAAGGCAGTTTTAAAATCTAAGATAACATGTGTAAAGCATACCAACACCAATATTAGAACTCTAAAAATCACAAAACTCACATTTTACAGTATAATAAACAATTGCATCTAGAACTTGTGGGCCAAGAGTAACAGATACCAAGTGATTTTGTGAAATGAGAAATGGATTTCATCTGCTAAAGATGGGGCAGTTAGTAGAAGTTGAAGGAGTCAGAGTCTAGTGATCCTCAAAACACATCATTTTTAAGTGTCAGAATTGGGATAACTGGCAAAAAGAAAGACCAATCAGCATACTAATTCAGTAGGGTGTGTTGCTACAACTGTTACCAACTAAGTGCTATTTAAATAAGACAACGTCATTTTTTTAAAAACACATGTTACTAATAAATTACAATATGTTTAATATAAGCTTTCTTCTTTTCCCTTCCTTAGAAATCCAGGGCCAGTCTAAATCTTTTATTTAGTTCCTTAAGAAGCAATAAACCCACACAATAAAATTCTAATTTAAGAATTACAGATACTCAAAATGTCAGAACTAAAAGGGACTGTAGATATCATCTGATTTAGCTTCCACATGGTGCCCCTGGGAAACTGAGCTCCAGAGAAGATAAAGAGACTTATCTAGAGTCATAATAGGCAAAACTAATTCTGGTACTTAATCTCATTATCATTTTTCTAGCTCTAGGAAAGCAATTTTTAGCTTCATCCAATTACATACCAACAATTTAACATCATAGTTTCCCATTTGAACTCTGCATCATTTGGGGTTCATTTGGCAATAGAAATCTCTGAAGGCTGGGTTAATGACTCAGGAAGCACTGGATGTGACTTGTAGGAAAGTCTGAGGATAGTCAAGAAGGTAAATGAAGAACATGTAAGAAGTACACAAGTTCCTGTGGTACTGGGTTGGTGCCTTAGGATGGAACATCAAGTGGAATGCTCGGGGGAGGGGGGTGCACGTCTCTTTTCAAGAGCAACAAAAACTTCAAATCCATAATGGCACAATATTTTTAGAGGTGCTAGCCATGTAAACTACTGGCCACACTGACAGTGAGAAAAAATGCTTTTCAGTAAGAACTGATCAAGAAAATGATGCAATGTTAGACTAGAAGAGAGAATTCTAACTAATGAAGCATGAGGAAAAGCTGAGTTTCTGGCCAACTTTCCATGCCCTGAAAATGGACCCACCAGTACTTCTAAGCCTGGACTTTCAGACTTACCAAATTGTTAAAAGTGGACTTTAAAAGTAGGCCTCTGGTGTGAATATTCTGCAACAATGCATAAGATTCTAATAAGATTACTGACATTTAGAAATGGGAGGAAAGGAGCTAAGGGTGTAGGGAAGGTGTGATACGTAGGGGAAGAACAAAAAGGGAAAAGAAAAAAATGTGAGAGAATGAAAAGATGAAAATAAAGTGTTTGTAGATGGGGAGGGGAGGAGGGGGTGAAGGGAGGGCAGAGGTAAGGGGAAAAAATGAGAATCAAGACTTGCCATGTAAAGGTACATGATCCCAACAATAAATGTAACTGTACTGTATCCCTAAATGTACCAATAAACTCAAAAAAAAAAAAAAAAAAAGTAGGCCTCATCTGAGGATCAGTGGTGGCATAGACCTAATAGAGGGCTATATCTCATTATTTTTCAAATAACTCAGTGTTTAATATTTTCTTTCCTTTAAACATCTGTTTTTCACTTTTTTTTTTTTTTTTGGTACGGGGATTGAACTTGGGCCCTTGTGCTTGCAAGGCAGGCGGCGAAACCACTCAGCTAAATCCCCGGTCTGTTTTCCACTTTTGTACCATAGGAAGTAGTCACTTGGAAGAAAATATGCACCACTAATCATCTGTTTTTCTGGGACTAAACCGAGAAGCTATAATAAAAGACTGCATCTGAGCTGGAGAAAAACCTTTCAAGGTTATTAAAATGTAAAATTCATGAACAATAATGAAGAATTGAACAGTATTTTTTCCATACAAGATCTAGCAGACTAATGGAAAAGTGACAGTATGCACATTAGCTGCTAAGATAAAATACTGGATTCTAGTCCATACGAATATAAAAGATATCCCAAGGAGAAGATACAATGTTTCTAACGTAACTTTGATTTAAAATTTGATTAAGGTAAAGTTGGTGCATTTAAAAAACGTATTTCAAAAGCAAGAAAATAGGTCAGCAAAAAGACCAATGATATAAAAAGTCTTCCCCACTCACAGACTGATTGGCAAGGCTTTTATATTTTCAGCAGTTTGGATTCCCTAAAAAAGACTTGCCAGTGGTGTAAGCACCATCTAAATGCCTCTCAGTATGTTGCCTGTGTACTCACCCCACTACCCTGGCTTAGAACACTCATTCCACCTGATCTCTGTGCATCATTTAAGGGATCAACTTGAGATTGGCAGTTGTTTGAAAGAAAGGACAGTATTTGTTGTTTTTACATTAGTATTTGTAAGATATCTTTAGAAATAATAGGAAAAATGAACCCAGAAAACAATGTTCTGCAATGACATTATTAAAGTAGTAAAGAAACAAAGCTGAAAGATTTTTCTAATAAAGGGGCAGAATTGTTCTCATAGGACAAATAATCTTAGCTAAATGGCTATTTGTTATAAAAAGATCACCTTTGCCATAAGAGTGAAAACATGCTACTGTGTCTAGACTTAGCATACAATTAACTCCCTTGAATGGTTCTAATGCTTTTGATTTTTTGTTTTTAATTATGTTACCGAACATTTAACTTTTCATATAAAAGTGAGTCTAAGGAAAGAAAATGACTAATGTCATCTAAGTGCCCACTCACCTCCCATAATTTTGGATTGGCAGTTAATAAACTCTGGCTTCCTGTCTGTGAGGTACCTCTGGCAGGTGTGGTGGAGGATCTGGAAGAAGGTGCACTTCTCTGAGGCTGTGCTGGCTACCCACTGGTCAAAAGCATTTTCAAACAACAAATCAAATTCTGCAGAATCCTGGAAAAGATATTGAAATAAACACTCATCTCAATATTTTGAAACTACTGCTCCCAGTTTTCCCCCATCAAAATACACATAAAAGTGAAAAGACTATGGCAATGATAATGCTCATCTTTATTAGGAATTGAGTGTATGAAGAAGTCACATTTTTTTAATCAAGCAAAATCCAACCTTACAGTATTTATAGATATTCCTAGGAGGCTAGAATCATTGAAGTTGACATAGCCTAACTGCAGATTGACTTACATTTAGAATTCATACTGTGTATTATCTTCCAAAGTACCGGAAAAAAGATTCTTTCACATTCTCAGCAATGACCTCTATTGATCTTGCCTCTAAACTTTCATAGGAAAAGATTCCCTCTTATTATTTTAGTATATGGTAAGAATTTACATTTTATTATTCTTCATCATTGACATGGTGGTGGTGGAGGTGGTGGGGTGTTGAGAGAGAGAGGGGGCAGAGAAAAAGGGAGAGAGAGACAGAAGGGGGAGAAAGGGGGAGGGAGGGAGAGAGAAAGAGAGAGAGAGAGGGAGGGAGAGAGAGAGAGAGAGAGAGAGAATCTCAAAAGGGAATGAGTGTACTTCGAATAGATAACTGTATTTTAAAATGTTTCTTATAAAATCCAGTGGAATCCTAATATATGATTTTTCAAGTGTCATTAATTGATTTGATTTTTGGTAGAATGACCTTTGTCATTAATGATAGCAGGGAATAAATGAAGCTTTCATGAAATGGTGTTTTAATATTGATGACCATGCACATGATTATCTGAATCCTGCCCTTTGCTGATAAACATTTTTGGAGGCAGTATTTCTTCTATATGTATCACCTTAGGTTCCTGCAACAAACATAATTCAAAGATTTATAATTTTCCATAGGAAACGAACAGACATCAGAAAGGGCTAGTTATGATTCAAAGCACTACCATCACTACCAAGGTCAATCAGGGAGTCATCTTGTGAAGAGAATTCCTTGTTCAGCATTGGACAATTCACTTACCCGGTTAGGATCGATACCATTAACTTGGCGAAGCTGCTCAAGCATCCACTGTGATCTCCGAACAAATGATGTGGAACCTTCAAACTGCTTGACCTTTGTGATAGATGCCTGTGTGGGTTTCTTGTTTGTCACTGCCAAGAAAAGAGCACTCAGATTAGTGGGTTTGCAGGTTGGTTTATTTCCCCATTCAACACCTACTGGGCATATGCCCAGTGAAACAGGGAGGTTGAGGAGGGAATATGAATGAATGACGACTGTGTGCATCGGGTGAAGGCTGAGCGAACAGAAAAGAAATAGAAGTCATAATCTCCTTTCCCCAGCAGTTTATAATACTATTGTGAGAGCTGCTTTATTTAAGTCTTCATTCAATTAAATGACTTAACTGAATGAATAACACCAAGCACCTTTAATGGAGACTACAAGTGCACAATTACAGCTTGTAGGCAAAGAAGCATCCTAGGCTGACAGGCACCAAGAAGAAAGCTTTAGAAAGAATGAATTTTAAAGGAAGTTAAGGTTATTGGCTTCCTGAGGGACCTGTAGAGACTGTTTCTAGTCTTAGAATCCAGTGTAAGTATATGAGGCTTCACTGATAATAAATAATACCTCACCCCAAGAAAACAACCAAACAAATATTTAAAACAAACTGTCTGGCTTTGCAAGTTCATGTAGTTTGTCATCCAGTTTGCATCTGATTATGGCTTTATTTGACATTCTGGGTACAAATCCCACATGTGAATTCCTTTTATTGTTACCCCCGAAGGGCCAGGACAATCATTCTTCCCAGTCTCAGGTAGCATCATCTCTCAGACTCTAGGACAGAAGCATCTGGACATTTCTGTCTACTTACTTTGTGATTTAAAAACTCAAGGATAGTAGGAGTGCATTAGGGTCTTAAAAGGGCTAAATCAGCAAAGTTCCTCCTGAGTTCTGGATGTAGAAGTTAGTGTGATTCAATAGCAGTGATAACATGAAAGAACTAGGCAAAGTACTACTGGCTGCAAACATTTCAGCCCTAGTCACCACCTTATAGAAGACTATGCACCCATTTCATATTACTTCTTTGTTTTTAATAACTATGTAGGTGCTTAGCAGATGGCAAAAGAACTCTTGTGGGATGAGGGACAGAAGGCACTCATAATCATCTTTGGTATTAACAAAGCTATGGTTCAAGCATTCTACAGCTTGTTGCAATTTTGGTGTCTGGGGTCACTGCAATTGGAGAGCAGAGACCACGAGAAGAAAACAAAACGGGCCACTCTGCCTTTACATATGGGTATTACTTTACAGTCCCAGCTCTGAAAACTGTCTTTATGGCCAGCACAATCTTCTTTTGCTCCTACCAGAATCTAGCAAACTTTAAAAAAAAACTTTAAATAATGCTTTAGATTATTGCCCACCATTTCAGTTGTATTTGGTTAAAAGCCTCCAATGTCTCACACCAATAACACTTACTTTTGTGGTTAAAAAGTTATCATCCCCTTCATACCTATAATCAGAGGAAATTTTTCTATCACATATAGCCTTTTTTAACAGGCTTCAGGCCTGTTATGTCCCATTAGAAATAACCATTTCTCTGAATAAGTCAGCCAATCTTGCCAGTGAGCCCAAGGCTCTGTCTGTCTATTTAGTTTGATTAATTTATTTCTGTACCTTCTATGACACAAAGGGGAGACCTACTGGGTTTCTCTGGTAGTTGTATTCTGCTCTTATGTCTTCATGTTAAAAGGATACAACATACCTGGAGTACATACAGGCCCTAAAATGTGCTCAAAAGATTAAAGAATGCTTTTCAATTACAGGAAAACATGGGTTCCTGTATTAGATACACACCCCTAAATACACAAAGAAGACTTCCTCCCTTGTTTATGTAAATCATATGACATTTAAGCATCCTGGGAAACTTGAAGGCTTTCCTTCCAACAGCAGTTAAAGTTTTTAACCAACTACTATTTTTATTTCCAGTTCATTTGTTTCCAGGTAGTTCACAGCATTACAAAAGCTCAAACACAATGCAGACTCACTGTATATTGCTGGTATGTTTAAGATTCACACTGCGGGAAAGCAATCTCTATTGGAGATTTCTCATTGAAATGAGGCAGGCAGGAACCCCACCCACATGACAAATGTCCACACAGAATTCCTCAGTAGCTCTCACACTATAAAGGGATCATTTTAAACTCAGTTATAGCTCTATTTGTTCCTGCCTTTTTGCTGTTACTTTATTCCTTTCCCACTTCATGGAGTCTGGCTAGTTTTCCTGGGCATTGAGCCCATTTTGGTTTAATTTTTGTTTATTGTTATTATCTTCATCATCAAGTTTTCTATTTTGAAGCAGGTGCCTTAAAATTATATTATTACATACACATTATAAAGAATTAAATAAGGACTTCCCTCTTCTGAAATCAAAACACTTTTATGAATATACCATGGCTAGAATTTCTGAGTATCATACCTAAAAGAAACATAGTTTATCACAATTTTTGGCATTTTTTGGACATTTCTGGGGCCCAAAACTGATTAAAAACAAAACAAAACAAGTCACTCAAATTTCAGGTGTCTAGTGAAAAACTAACTTACTTTTAATTCTGAAAGAAAGCTAGTTGAAAGCCACTGGAAGATGTAGCCTAATTACCTGGATCAGTAATATCATAGGGCTATATATCCATCTATCCTCATACTATAGATTCCCAAATTCTTTACTCTTAATAACTTTAAAGTCCAGATAACTGGACATTTATGTTATGCTTTCAATAGCCACAAGTCAAAGACAGATACATGAGCATGGGAAAGGGAAGGGGGAGCATAAAACTCCCAAGAATACCACAGAGCATCCAGGATCGCCTATCCCCGGGTTCTCCTTGCTGTCCTCCTCTCACTATCACTTGGGAGCATCTACAGTAAGTGGACTGAGCTGTGTGAATTGCAAGCTCGCAGTATGCCCTTGGCAGCCATAATTTAAATCTTCCCAGTGGTTTGGAAGCACACTAACTGCTGGAAACCACTGAACTTGTGCATTTACTTGTTCACCAAACATTTATGGGACATATAGCTTTGCAGGCAATTGGAACTTTGAAGAACATGATTCTGAATCAAGAACTTGGGTGGGAAGAGCGGGCTAGGAATTATACAGTAGAGTACTAACATATAACACATGGTACATAAGTCATCTTAGGTATTGGTGTGGGGGCTTTATGGACTAAGATAGAGTTGACGAAAGTGTCTTGAAGCAGACACGTCTCAGGCAACACACCATCACCCCTAGTGTGAACTTCTAGGATTTTTCCCAACTGGGCCTGTTTGACTGGCTAAGTACAGAGGACTGAAGTGCCTTTTTAAAAACTCACTGTATTCCCAAAGCATTTAGAATAAAATGCAAGTCCTTAACCATGACCTGCAAAGCCTGGATGATCTGGCTGTTGTTATCTCTCCTAGTTCATCTCATTCCATTCTCATTTTTGTCTGTCAAGCTCCAATCGTATTTTGATCACGGAAAACAGCAATTCTTTCCACTTCAGACTCTCTGCACGTGCTGTTCCCTTTATAGAAACACTCTTTCTGTTATTTTTCATGATTGTCCATTACTCAGACTTCAGCTTACAGGTCAACTTTATTGAAAAACATTTTCGTAAGAAGGATTTTCTTTCTTGCTTGCTTTCTTCTTTCTTTCTTTTGGTACCAGGGATCGAACTTAGGTCCTTGAGCCTGAAAGGCAGGTGGCAGAACCACTGAGCTAAATCCCCAGCCCTGAAAAACATTTTTGGGACTTTATCCAAGTAAGTTCCACTGACATGCTATTTCCTTCACTGAACAAGGTTCATTTCAAGCCTGGATAAAATATTAAATGTTCGCTTCTGTTGGGTGAAGAACTGGTATCATGTCTCCCAGTCAAGAAACATACTGCTGGATAAATCTACACACAGATCTTCTAGGCTACTTCCTACCAGTTTGTGATTCACTGTCCCAAAATTGACATAATACATTTTAAAAAAACAGCATTCAAGTTTTAAAAAAATCTTTTATATAGCTTCTGGTTTTCTTTCTTGAGGTGGAAAATATCTCTCAGGTAGAGAAAGAATTATTGCTGTCATTTTTCCATTATTTTATATATAAGGAAATTGAGGCCCAGAAAGAGCTGACTTGCTAACATCACACTGCTAATAGGAAAATTGCAACTGGAACGATGAACTTCCAGTCTACCATTCTTGTTACTATCATTTTTTGCTGTATTGTCAAACATCCCATTTTATTTTATTGGGCATGGAATCCTCATTAAATAAAGATTAATTGAATCAATTCTTTCTAATAATACACTCACTGTGGTTTTTATAGTTTCTTGAACTATTATAATCCCCTTTAAATAAACTTTTTTTTTTAACTTAGGTTAATGAAAGACAAGATATATTTATGTCATAAATAGACATACAGCTTTGCCTGCCCTAAATAGAAAATAATAAAAATACAATTAAGGGTTAGGCATCAGAGCCCGACTATATGGTAAAATGGGTGATTAGCAAGTGGAAATAGGTGTTAAAGACAATCAAAACACGGATGTTATCTTACAATGTAATAAAACACCTTAAATGAAACGGTATCTCTAGGACTGCTGTGTTGCCCATATTGGGTCTCACTTGATAAGTTAAATTGTGGGTTTATCCAAGCTTAATACTTCCTGTTCCTTCATTCCCTATCCCAGTAGCCACTATTTCCTGTACTCACATAGGAGGCAGGAAAAAGCATGGAATAAACCAAATCCAGGGTGTTTTGCTTTGAAACATCCAAAAAGAGAACGTAGTTTTCATAGATTTGTGCTACCTCTTTAGCCATTATATAGACTTGATCATACATCTCAGCTATAGCTGTGAAGCAGCAATATGAACTATTATGTCCAGAATATCATTATTATTATAACCCAAGTGCTGGAACACCTCCATTTCATGAACTAATAGTCTAGAGAGGTCCTTTAAAATATGGCTCCTCCATGAGACATTTTACAAAGATACAATCAGACACATGGGTCTCATTACATTGGCCTTGACTGTACCCAGTAAGAGAATTCTATTTCATTACAAATCGAGAGCCAGCCAATAATAAAGCATGCAAAATCATACTACACAAGTCTGCAGTAAGT